ATAGAAAGACAGAGGATAAAATGGTTTGGCCACCTGTTACGCATGTCACCTGACCAACCAGCCTCGAGAGCCTACAACACCAAGCACTCAGGCTATAAACGCCACGCAAAAGGTGGATCGAGGGTGTCAAAGAAACCCTAAGAAAACATAACATCACAACTGAAAGAGCTGCGGAGCTGGCCTACCATAGAAAACTGCATCTCCCGTCGACGCTTAACGGCAACAGATGATGAACAAGTAAACGTAAAAGTAAGTAAATGAATAAGAAATTGTCTGGACTCACATGGGCATAGGTGGTGACGGCGACCCCAATCCCGATGTAGACGTAGGTGATGGCGTATTGGGTCATGTTGTATTCAAACTGGTCAGCCATTTCTGCCGCGCTGGTGTTGGTGTTGTTTTTGCCATCTGAGACAACGGAGATGTGGTCAGATATTTTTTGTCAGGGTTTTGTTAAAAGGGGTGTTGTTAGAAATTTTGTGGTAGTGTTACAACAGAGATGTCGTTAAACGTTTCGTCGTGGTTTTATAAAAAAAGATGTCGTTTCGATATTTTGTCGCAGTTTCATAAACAGAGATGTCGTCGGATATTTAGGCGTAGTTTCTTCACAGAAATGTCGTTGGACGTTTAAAACTTGTTTTATAACAGAGGCAATGTCGCCCCTTTCAGCTCTTTTTTTTTAAAAAACAGAGTATCTGTTGTACATTTGGTTGTGGTTCAAAAATAGAAAAGCCATAGCGGTTGTTTTTTTGGTCGCAGTTTTATATTGGACATATCGTTGGGCATTTTGTCATAGATTTATATTTGAAAAAAAAAGAAATGCCATGAAACGTTTTGTCATCCTTTCATAACTGTCAAGGACGACATCACAGTAGAACAAGATGCTCGATAAAACTTTCTGCCCGCTCGGAATTTGAACTCAAAGTCTCCTGCGGGCCACAGCGAAGCGCCTGACAAATACACCACAGACACCGTTGGTTTTGGTAGGCATACACTCACCTACATTAAAGAAAAAGAAAATCAACAAAAAGAAAAAAACAAACAAACAAACAAACAAACAAACAAACAAAAACAATACAAATTTTAAAAATCATATATACAAATACAAATAAAAATCCATACCGATCAAGCAAACAAACACTATACAAACTCACAGCCAACGAAGTCGTTGGTAACGTCACCAAAGATGAGGAAGAGCAGGGGCCAGGAGGAGCCATGGGCACAGGCTGCGATCACGCCAATGGCAATGAGGAACAGGTCAAAGCAGTTGGCGAACGAGAACTGGGGAGGGAGGGAAATTGGGGGTATTCAGTTTGGGTGAGGGTGGGAAAGGAGGGGAGGGGGCAGTGTGTGTGTGTGTG